GCACAGTATTAGCAAAGGTGCAGACTAAACGAGTTTTCTATGCAATTTGTGTAAGTGTTTGTACTTTGTTAGAAATTATGAAAACAGAAAGAATATAGTAATTAAATTTAATGACATTCTCAGTAGGTAAAAGCTATTTTACAGATTTCGAGGACAATATTTATCTGTTATGTCGAGCAAATAGAAATATTCTAAATCTTGCTCTGTTGTTTCTACACATAGCAAGCTAATAAGGTCTAATAAGGGTAACTACCCAACTGTCTCAGCACCATTCTTTTATTGCATTTGGTGGCATTTCAATGTGATTTCAATGTGGAGTCAAACTCTCTTTTGCTCTCTTAATGGAATTATAAAATGATATCAAAAGGCGTTAAAAAGAAATATAGCAAGAATAAGAAGTAGTGAAAAAAGAAAGTAAATAGCTGAAATGACGGCATTTTTTTATCATCATTACTTTATATTAAATATTAAAACATTGATATTTGCACCAGTGGCACAATGAACTGTTGATTTTTGACTTACCGTAAATCCATTTGAAATCATTTATTTTTGGCACCGCAGCACTTTATTTGAAATAAGCTATCAAAGCATTGACAGAGACTATCTAAATTAAATTTGTCACACTATTTGTAAATCTCTCTCCATCTTTAAAAAAAAAAGTTGTCGTTAGATAAAAATTTTTAAACAATACAAAATTTTTTAAAAAAAAGGGAGGATATAAATTTTATAATTAAGCATTTCCTTAAATTTAATTTTTCTTGTTTTTCTCGCAGCTTCATTTAAATATATGCCGTTTCTGGTGTTGGATGTAACTAATTTTTCAAAATTAATACGACAATTATTAAATTTGAAAAAGCTGCATTGTAGTACTTAAATGTTTCTTTATTACAGCATTATTTTTAATAAATAAACTAGTAAAGATTTTGTTTTTGATTTAAACGAGCCTCTACCGATTGCACACTTTGTCATTATGCCCTTGCAAAAGTTCAAAAAAAGCTGAAGATATGCTTTAAAAAGCAGGTTTTGAATTCTGCTTTCTTTAGAAGAACATTTATTTTTTCTCACCAAATAATGCCTTTAACACTGTAAATATGTTGAAAAGCATTTTTAAGTAGCAATTTCGCTAATATACCTAATAAAAACTACAATAATTTTTGTCATTTATATTATTAAAAATATTTTGCTTTTTCTTAAACTTTATATTGTGCTGATTTTTAAGGCACAGATAGAATTTGTCTAAATATATCGTCTAAAAAAATGAAGCTTAATTTGCCACTCTAGTTTTTTTCTTTTCTCTAAAGGCGTTGAATGTGGATTATTACGGTGATTCTGCTTTAAGAATTAGCAAACTCTAGATTTCAGAAAAGGAAATACAAGCTGGTTTAGCAGTTAATCAATTTAGTGTTTCCAACAATTTCTGGAAGAGTAAAATAATGTTAAAAATTTTAATTATTGGGTTTCAAGTGACAGAATACTTCAAATACATTTTTGCAGCTCGTTATCTGCTTTCTTTTCTCCCAATTTTAAATCCATAAAAGCTTATTTCTTTACTAAAAAGTATTTTTCATTATCTATCTTCAAACTCATCTTTAAGTGATCTGCAAATAAAGCGAAACTTTCTTAAAGCTTTGTTACAGAATTGCTAATTTGGAAAAGTTTTATTAAAGGCTTAATAAACTCTGAAAATTTCCAAAAAGTTGTCTAAACTCATTGTTGCCTGTCTGTTTTGGTTTTTTGAAAAATAAAAACAGGCTCAACTGTACTGTTTATAGATTCTTTGCTTAATTATTACTCGTTTTTTTCCTTTGTTTACATCAGTGAAATATTGGAGGTACAAAAAAGCTAAGAAAAAAAAACATTTTCTCAACAAATTTAATTTGTGAAATTAAGCAGCATTTTTAAAATTAATAATTTGTTTACATGCCTTTACTATATATGACCTTTTTTATACAATAAACTTTTAAATGTAATTGAATAATCAGAACAAAAATTGAAAATCAGCACTGCCAATGCCAACATTGCTTTTAGTGTAGTAGCGGTCTAAAGCATCATCCGCACTACCAAATCATTCAGAAAAACTCGTTGCAATCTTTTTAACATTCATACTTATCATAGAAAGAATATTTTTATTGTCTGTTCCTAAAAATGTACAATTTAACGGTTAACCTTATTTGCCTCCCTGTATGACGTTTAAAAACTTATAATTTATACTAGTTCCTCGTACAAACGTCAACAGCCTGAAAAACTCTTTAAGCTAATTAAGATTAGTCTGGATATTAAGCTCTAATTGCTAATAAAATTTTAATATTCTTAGCACTTCAGCAACTTTTGCTGTTGATATAACTGAAAAAAGTATTAAAGGAAAAGAAACAAGTTCTAAGTAATTTAAGATTGCTACTAAAGATATGCAAGAAGACTATTAAAAATTTTCTAAAAATATTAACTTTTTATTCTTACAACAGGCAAAATAAATTATGTCGACTGTACTGGACTACTTCTTTGTTTTCAGGTGGCTTCGTTTCCATGTTTTCAAACATTCTTACCGCTTTTTAACTGCAACAGCCACCGACTATGTTTTCGTCACTTATATATTTTATTCCTATTACATTAACAAATTAGTAAATAATCACTGTCATGCAGTCATTTGCTCAATCTGCTGCTTCGTTTATTTATTTGCACTACGCTCTTGCTTAGTGGTAGAAACGGTCTCACTGTAGCCGTAATTTCTTTGCAGATTTTACTATAGAAGTGACTGCCATTAAGCAATGGATTATAATTCCTTGAAATCAGTACGTGATTGCTTTGTTAAGGCAGAAGGAGTTGATTCGTATCGTTTAGCACATGGTTTGATTTTAAGTGCTGCTACTGGTATTGGAATAATTTCCTGTCTACTGCTACTTGCTGTCTTCTACATCTGTAGAGCTCAGACACGTTTTTCAACTTTCAAATTGTTTCTGTCGTTGAACATTGCTGCCATTGTCTACCACGTTGCTGGATGCATAGTCATGCTGCCTTGTACATTCACTGACTGCCAGTTCTATAGTGATAACGTTATAGTTTCTCTTGCTTGGCTTGATACCCTTGGATATTATTCAAGCATGTTTACAAATTTTTTGATTGCCGTAGAAAGAATTAGTATGTTTCATTGCACCAAACTTCATCAATGGATCGAAGATCGAAGGCTGCTGTACATCTCAATAGCATGGATGATTGGCTGTGCCATTACTGTAGGAACAACTTCTATGAAATGCTTCAAAAGGTCAGCGCTATAGCGAAACTCACCTCAATTACTGACATATTCTTGTGCCCCTGAGAAAGATCACCAAAACAATTTTAGTGATTCCGTTACTTCGAGCTTAAAAACCTATTTCAAGTTTTAAATATCCTTTTAATAAGACGCTGCATAATAGCATGAAATAGAAGTCCCAGAATGAAAAAAACGTTCTTTGGACCTTCCACTTATTTTACTGATAAATTGGAGTGTTCATAGTGAAAGTTTGTAGCAGTCAAACAATCTACAGCTAATAGCACAGAAACGACAAATGCAAATTGATAATCAAATCTCAGGTATAACATGTATGTGCTTCATTACACGTACCACTGTGCCAGTTGTGAGATTCTTCCTGGGATTAGCATTCTTACAGTCTTAATGTACGTAACTCAGTGCGTGACGCTCCTTATGTTCCTTGGCTATATTTCTATTGTCGTAGCAGTGAGAAGAAAAGTTGCCACGGGAGGCTTAAAAGGACAAATGATAGATGTGAAACTGGTTAGCTTCTTTACCTTTTTCTTGAAATGATACACATTAACCGACAATATTAAAACTCGATAGCCGTTCTAATATACATTCCCTTTCAAAGTTTCTTCAAGAGACTAGAATGTACCAGCAAGCAACAAAAAATTAGAAAGCCTCAAAACAGTATCAAAACAATCTCTGTTTTTCAAAGTTAAAAAAGAGTACTAATTTAGATACTCCAAGCATTCTTGCTATGCGCCTGTCAGTGGCTCAGTTCTCTTACATTCTGGTTTTTTCCAGTAATCTTCGACACCACAGTAGGAGTAAGTTTTTTTCCACGTTCCTTATAAAATCAAACTGCACCACTGGCCAAAAAAAATCGTCACCATTTATTTGCAGCAGTTTAACAAAGCGGACAAATAATAAACAATCAGACACTTCTTACGCTGTAATATAAAGATTAACTTCAAATTTTTTCAGAGTTCCTTAATTTTGAACCTAGTTGGCATAGCTAATGAAACTTCCCACGTCATCGTATTGTTTTCCTTCAACAAAGCGGTTCAAAACGGGCTAATGCAGCTCATCATGATTCCTACTAAACATTTCAAACAGAGGAGAACAAACACACAAACAATCAAGTCGCAGCCTCCAGAAGCAAAAAACAGAACAATACAAAGTCAAAAACTTTAACAGGTCTATTTCTCCACAGCCATCTTACAGCTTACATTTAAACACTCCAAGAAAAAGAATTGTCTTCAAAAAGAAACAAGTTCACCATCTTAAATAACATAAAAATTTAAAAGTTGCTCCTGCATCTTAAAACTGTTTAACTTACAAATGTCAACTTTAATTTTCTTTACTTGTAACAATTCTACATAAACCCTTAGACCTCTTGTTATTGATTTAAAACCGCCTAAAACTGGCCCTCAACCAACCCAAACGTATCAAAGATCAATGAGTAGATAAAACAGAGCTATAAGCAAAATACAAAAAAATTAACGGCACGCTCTTCGAAGAGCAGTTACACAGATATGACCAGATTCCCCGTAATCTTTCTCCCAACATGAGACAAACAAACGTTCACATACCAGTTTCGAAAATGTGGCTAAATAAGTCTAATGACAAAGCAAATAAGTTACCCATGCTTTTTCAGTAACGTGGCGGCAATATTACTAGCCTGTTCTGAGCGAATAGCGCAGATGCGCTCCTTCTTTGGGAACAATATGCCACAAGCCCGTTAATTTACAGACGCCGAGGAAGTGGATAACAGCACAACGGGTGACAACCGCAGGTGTATTATTAAAAAGTTGACTAAAGTAATTCAAGAAACAAAGACTGCGTGAACGAAAGAGAGAAAGAGCAGAAACCTAAAAAGAATAGGCCTTTTCAATACAGGTCATTGTTGTTTTTCTCTTTCTTATAAATTTCCAAGTTCTTAAGTTTAAATTTTTGTTAGCAGAATCCAATCATAAGCCATTAAAAACCTCTGTACTTCAAAATAATAAAGATGGTGTTATTTTTTTATTGCAGTAGTACTCTTATAAAAAGTTGCTCCTGCATCTTAAAACTGTTTGACTTACAAATGTCAACTTTAATTTTCTTTACTTGTAACAATTCTTCATCAACCCTTAGACCTCTTGTTATTGATTTGAAACCGCCTAAAACAGTAACTGGTAATAATAAAGAATAAAATAACAGAGTGCAACAGATCTCTTAATTAACTTACCATGACTGTAAAAACTTTACAAAGTGCCACTAGAAACTAAAGCTGAATTTATAAAGTTATAAGAACAAATGCAGCGGAAATCAAGGTCATTACTACAAGAAGCTCACTGCATGCAACACGGATCAAGGAGTAGGCTAAAAAAAAACTTCCGAATGAGAAGTTCATCATCTTCTGCAGCAAAGACTCTATCTGCTTCTTAGTCGACTAAAACACTGTATCACACTAAAGCTTGATTAAAAAATAGTTATCTGTAATCTACCTGAGTGTCTGCAATCTCCTACCTTCCCCACATTTTTCAACTTACTGCAATTAAATCCCTCAACAGATGAAAACCAAAAAAACGCAAATTGATTTTTCTCATTATTTCTTACATCCATCATATGGAACTAAATTAATAACACAACCCCAACCACTCATACAAGAATCACTTTTGCTCAGATACATGTTAAAGAATCCCTAATAAGAGTAATAATAATCAGAAACAGAAAAGCAACAGCGAAAGCTTTCCGGAACTACTACAATTAAATCAATCCATTGAAGTCCAACAGGAAAAATAAGGATTTATTGTGATCGGCAACCAACAACGGCTGACCAGACCATCAGAAAAACAGGAATAAGAAACAACAATATAAGGTAAAAGAAAAAAACAATTTTCTTGGAAAACCCAACAGATAAAGCTTGCTAGAGAGGAACGAAATGGTCATCATGCATAATTGAAATAATGAGATCCAAAACACCATGAAGGTCTACTAGCACTTTGAAATAAAAAAGAAATAAAAGAAACAAATTTCTGAAGTATTTTCTAAACAAAATGAGATAGTCTCACAAAAAAATTTCAACTTGGCTAAAAAAAGACAAAACAATTTACATAAAGCACACATACACGATACTTACATGAAAAAAGATTCATTTGGAAGAACAATACCAGTATAAAGTGCGTCTCACTAAATCAAGAATATAAGTTTTATATACACAAGTAAACCTAAATGGTTGTTGTTATAATCTTCTAACACCATTGAAACCTTTGTTCATTTAGACGGGTTCCAGTGAGTTCTTTCAACTTTAGCCGTCAGCCAGAGGAATAAGCTCCACTTCCCAAGAATTTGCAAAAAAGTTGTTTAGTGGAAATACTGTTACAAACTCATTGAAGCGTACTTTCTTCTTCCTCTAAAAATATATATAAAAACGCTTACTCCGCAATAGGCGGGTTCTGGACAAATTGACTGGCTCAATAGTTTTTTCACTTTCAAGATTTCGAGTTAAATTGCGACCCTGCTACTTTAGAAAAAACTGCATGCCCTAGATCCCCTACATAACAACAATCATGAAGTGCCTCCGAAGAAATGCTGCAAATTTATAAAAGCTAATCTCGTTGAGCTGACTTCTGATACCTGACGCTTAGGGTTCACAAAAACCGACTTTGTTGGCCCATTCTCCGGCGAACGGTGCTTAGGACTTATAAACGCCGATCGTGTTAACTTAACCTCAGACGACTGATGCCTGGGACTTAAAAAAGCCGATTTTGCTGGCCTGACTCTTCCCTGAAATTCTAATATTTAATATACAAAGAAGTGCGTTAAGATAGGAGGACGATTATTGCTTTTTACAATCAAGAAAGACAAACCCCTAATACCTCTCCATTAAAAAAAGGTACTAATACATAGATGATATTCAGAATTTGCCTTTGCAAGCCACACCACAAAGAAATAGGTTGAGATGAGAAACCAGAAAAGTGACTATTCATTTTCCACAACCTTTGACAACGAAATCACCGGTAGGGCAAAAAAAAGTCTCCACTGTCTTAAACAGAGAGAAAAAGATATATGACGGTTTTGGCAGGAGAATGTCAAAACAGTAGTAAACTGCTTACCATACATAAAAAACAAATATGCGATGTAGGAGATTAACCTGTGCTGCTTTTCTTGTGCTCTCTTAAAGCTGAAGAATTTGCTGAGTTTTGCATTTAGATGAATTAATTTAAGTCGTAGGCGGCCCACAACTCTTAAGAAAGAAAGACAAAAGCATAAAGTAACCACAGTGACAACGTTTACATCTGGTCGTTATTAATAATGAAACAAAGCCTCTTGTTGCAACACCCATGACTCAAACAAAAAACGAACTGGTCTGACAACTGATAAGTAAAAATAGTGAGGTAAAGACAAATAAATATCACCTTCGACGAGTTGTTCTGCATTACGGGTTTTGACGCAGCCTCACGATGTTCTCTATTTTGACCCTTCCAGGTGGAAACACCATTTAAATTCCTCTCTGGTCTTGAATTACCGCTCCAAATCTGCTCACTTCCCTTCTGACTTTGCTTACTACAAAAGTGGAGCGTGATTCGCACAAGCTTCAACGTATCAATGAAAAAATAAACCGTAGAAAATTAAATCTGACAGTACCCTACCTATGGTGATACACCACTACGGAACCATCACTCGCTATATATGAGACAACCATTCTGATATCCACAGGGAACAGCGAATAAACAATGTGACAAAACCTCAAAAAACATCGAAAAAATAATTTGGCTGACCAAGTGCCCACTTAAATATTTTTCGGGAACACCATGAATGGCCCTGTAATTGCATAAGTACTAAAGCCTGTTTAGCTGACGAGTTTACTCTGTTAAAAACAAGCAGCAGTACACCAACTATACTTTCTAAATTCTAACACGTAGCGGCTTCTCAACGACCTACGCCTTTGATAATTTTATCAAATGGTCTATCATTTTATAAAGACCCGTCTGTTGCTATGAAGTACCGGTCAAATCCCTGTTAACAGTTAATAAACACCAAAGGAATAATCTTTTCGCACATTTTACGTCATGATTTTTAAACCCTAAACGAGAAGTTAAAAGAAACGATATATATATTGTATATATATAT